ACAAAAAGAAAAAAAAAATCAATAAAATCTTTGCAATTATAGTTCTCCGTAAAAACTTCATGACTTTAGTTTGGTCAAAAATTTTTATTGATTGCAACTTTGTATATGTAATTCAAAAAATAAAATAATTTCAAATGAAAACCCAAAATATTCTTGTGCCATAACATCCTTAATGGACGTCTCCACTTTTTTCTTTTTTAAAATTTCTCAAAATTTTCACTTTTCACTAAGAATGTTAAGGTTCATAAGACCCAGGCACACTGTTAAAAGAAAATAATTATCTGAAAATCTTCAACGAGCTTAGCTACAATAAAAGTACTATTCAGCAATGGCATCCTTTAGTTTGAACAACTTGTTCCAGTGAGCTCCCTAAACTATCAAAGTAGATGATATACACACTGGCAGTGAATATTTATCACTTATTAATAGTTAATTAACAAATTCCTTCACTTGCTCCAGTTCTACTGGGATTTATCTGAAGAATTTATATTGGAGAATTTATATTGAAAAAAAATCTTGTTTCACTGATTTATGTTCTGAAGCTTTTGGAAGAAGTATCTTGCTGTTTCTAGGGAAAAAAAAAAAAAGAAAAAAACCCATAGAGATAAAAAAAAGACAGAGATTCTTCTCTAATACTCACTAATCTTCTAACATATTTATGGCAGATATTCCAACATCAGATAAATATCAACACTAATCTCCCCAACCACCAAGGATGAGACTCGAACTGGACAGTTTTAACCCCAGCATTTCCTTAGCAAGTTGGTACATAAAAATGAGGCAATAAATCATGAAAACAAACGAACTTTTGACTTCATCATAGAAAAAAACAATGAATAACAATGAAAAAGCTAATTTTAAAGAAGACAAACTCTGTACTGATAGACCTGTGGGGAAAAAAAAAAGAGAACTTTCATACATAAGGTGTTTCCTCAGGCATAACAATTTAGAGGAAAAGTGCAGAAATATATAAAAAGCAAAACAACATATCAAAGTATTGATCCCTTGTATTTTCACTACAAGGACGAGATGAATTTCTCCCTGAAGACCTTACTTTGGGAAGAAACTGTTAACTTTCTTTGAAACAGGAAGGATCTTGAAAAAAAGGCACTACTTCTGAAAATATAAACTTTGCAAGATCAATCCAAGAATACATTGTCTAATAGCAGCAATGTCCATAAATTCACTACCAGGTTCACAGTTTATAAATCAAGTTGAAAATTAGATGTCTAGGTCTCCAAACTTTCAAAAGACAGATGCAATAGAAGGGCTATCTATTGCTTTTAGGTCTCCACTGAAGAACGTATATCCAGAGGAAAAGAGCTAACTCCGATGGAAAAAAAAGGAAAGAACAGAAACTTTTTATTAAATGTGTCATGTAAGGACAAGGTAGGATTCCAATATATAAACCAAATATACATAAATCATATTAAAAAAAATAAAGACAATTCAAAAAAGAAATTAGATGCCAGTAATAAATGGAATCCATTCAAGGAAAAAAAAAGTGGGCTTGCCTTCCCAGAGACAAATGTTACTGAAATAATGAGGATTTCCTACCTTTACAGTCAAAGTTCAAATATGCAAAGAAGGTTGTTGAAAATATTAACAGATCTTTTTAAAAGAGGACAAGACTTTGCCAAAACAAGTCCATGCAGCAGACATTAATATGAAAGCTTTCAGTTAAAGATAACCCATATAAAGAGAGTTAAAAAGGACAACAGCTGTGGCCTGGAGATTTTCCTGTACGGCACGAGAGGCTGTCGCCACCACAGGGATTTTACACATCAGAGTAAGGCATATTTTCACTGTAAAATATCTCCTGATGACATATTGACCAGGTAGTATTTTAGCAAAATCTGTTATTGAAATACAGAAAGGGTCCCAAAGTCACGTGGACAGTGGGAATGGGTGTACAAGCACAGCACAGGGTAATTCCTCCATCTGTTTGCCTGGAGCTGCAGGAAGTACTGGTAATGAAGATGAAGAGAGAATCTCCCTCTCTTCCCTGCAGCAAATCTGCTCCTTCTGGACGTCGGTTTTATAGAATCCACTCATTATTCATCTTCATTAAGATGCAGGTTATACCAAAAGTAGAATTTGTTTTATGAACTTGGGCTGTGAACAGTCTTTAATAGAAAAGCACTATGAGATTCTTCTGTCTACATTTTAGGAATAAAGAGTCCCCGGCCAATGACAGTATCATTGACAACACTGTAAAAGCAACACAACTTTCCAGAGTTGTTATTCCATGCCCTGCATGATCTGAGACTAAAATAAATGGGCAAACTGATCAAGTGGACTAGATAAGTCAACAGTAAGGTGTACTGAAAACTAGCTGAAATTCTGGACTAACACTCATGTGATCAGCAGGATGAAGTCCAGCTGTGGTCCAGTCACTACTGGTGTGGCCCAGGGGTCAATACTGGGGCGAATACTGTGTAACATATTCACAGAGAACCTGGACAAAGAGACAGAATCCAGCCTCAGCACATTTGAAGATGATACAAAATTGGGAGGAGTGATAGATAGACCAGATGGATGTGCAGCCATTCAGAGGGACCACAAAAAGTTGGTAAAATGTGTTGACACAGGGAAATGCCAAGTTCTCCCTGGGAAGGAATAACCCCAAGCACCAGGGCTGGCAGGAGGAAAAGCAGTCCGGAAGAAAAAGACCTTGGGGTCCTTTGGATGCCAAGTTGACCATGAGCCAGCATTGGGCCCTCCATGGCAAAGGCACCCACAGAATCCGGGGCTGCATTATGAAGAACATTGCAGCAGGTTGAGGGAGGTGATTCTTCCCCACTGCTCAGCAGAGAGACAAGTTTCGAGTGCTGTGTCTAGTGGTGGGCTCCCCAGTACAAGTGGGACATGGACATGTAGAATAGAGTCCAGCAGAAGGCCATAAAGGTCATGAAGGTCTTGGAGCATTTGTCACATGATACGGGCTGTGAGAGCTAGGACTGTTAAGTCTGGAGAAGAAAAGGCGCAAGGGACTCTTATCAGTGTGTTATCTGATTGGGGGAGAGTAAAGAAGACAGATCCAAACTGTTCACAGTAGTGTTCTACAATGGACTGTAATTATGGGGTGCTATGATAAAGGCATAGTCATATCAGATTTGTTGTCACAAAGGACAGATCTTCATTTTAAAAAGTCACAAGTGCTAGAAATTAATTTCCTTACTTTTTGCCTTGTGACAGAAGGAAAGAAGCTATTTATGCTATTAAAAAAAAAAGTATAACTATGGCAGCACAAATTTCACCTTAATCTCCTTCAGCAAAGAAGTAGCAACTAAGAAACAAAATAATAGTCAGATGTAATACATAGGATGTTTCCAGTTAGTTCACTGCTGTAAAATATCCATAAGAAAAGTGATGTCATGCTGCATTAAGTATTTTCTTATTTTGTCTATATCAAAGTGGTTAAATTGGTGAATTTATAAAAAGAATTTATATAAATATAAAATATTTCATAGACAGAAGAGCAGCATATATTTCCCACTGTACATTTTCCTAATCTTCCATATTTTACACATACTGCTGACTTACAGCTATGCAAAACCCACCAATTTTCCCAAAACATTAACAAATCGATCATTTTTTATGCATTAAAATAAGAAATTTAGTAAAAGGAGAAAGACTTTGTACTCCATTTTCTATGGCTTCTAAACTTCTAAACGGCAAAATAAAATCTCTCTTCAGAGAGAGAAAAAGAGAAAAAAAAAAATAGAAAGAACTCAGATATAGCATTTATCCCTATACCAAATATTTCTGGAGCCCTAGTTAAGGAAGGTTCCAAAACATTCACCATTTCAAGTGAAAACAGAAATGTAACTCAACTTGGAAAAAAAAATATATATGAGAAGAGATGTGAAAAAAGTAATTTTACCACCATTAATGTGGGAGACAAAGTAGTAAAATCAATTCGTTTCAGCAAGACAAAAAAATTACTCTCAGTCATATCATTATTTATGTGATGCATATGCTTCGACCAGTGCAAATGGGAAATAATATCTTCATTAGAAACAGTATTTTTGAGGATAAAATAGTAGTACTTTCTTAAAACAACACACATTGAAGAAGAAGGATTATATATTTCTTGACATTTATACAGCTACAGAATGGCGCAATAGACAATGGGAAACATATCCCAAAAGCATGGCTGACTGGGACAGCGTGCAGGAGACCATGCATGGCCTCTTCTTCTTTATAAATGAATAAGCTAAGTCACATGGTGTTTGGGGCAGATTTAGCAGATGAGGAGTTGACTCAAAGGTTTTCCTTGTACAATACCAAGAAGGAATCATAAGAAATTGAAAGACATGTCAACATAACGAACTTTGAGTCTCACCACCCTTCAGGTGTGAAGAGAGATTTCATTTTCCTTCTTACTTGCTTTATAAAAATAATGTTTTTTCTTTTATTGCTCTAACATGAAGTAGCATATTGTAGCAAACAAGATACCAAATAAGATTGTATAACATGGTGATCAGACAACCAAACTTCCCTGGAAGTTTTCAAAACCAGGCTGGATGGGGCTTTCAGCAACCTGGAATAGGGGAAGGTGTCCCTGTCCACTGCAAGAGGGTTGTAACTAGATGATCTTTAATGTCCCTTCCAACCCAAGCCATTCTATGGTTCTGTCATTCTCTGGGCAACCTGTTCCAGTGCCTCACTAGCCTCACAGTAAAGCCAATGATGGCTTACAGGGACTGTCTCAGTTCAAAAGCAACAAAAGTGAAAAAAACAGTCCTATCAAGGGACATCCAAAGATAACCAGGACTGTACAAAAAGCTGGAAGAGCCACATGTAGGTGGCAAGCCACTAGCTAGCACTTGGGCACACTGATAGATTGGAATGAGTGTCCCGTTCCCCCAAATCCATGGTGCCAGACACACCTGGAACAGAGGAGTAAGGAGGGAGAGGAGTCTGTTATACCCAGACCACTTAAAAAAGTTTTAGATTTTATTTCACTGAATGGTGTGGTTCTTGTCATTAACCCACTTTAAATTCACACAAAATGGTTCTCTATTTGGTCTCCAGGCCACTGTTACCAGCATTGCTCAAGTTTCCTCAGAGAAGAAAGATTTTTATGGTCAATAAATGAAAATGTTGCTAAGCACTATTCAGTGATGGTCTTGGCTGGAGAACGATATTAAAGATGCACTAATCCTCCAGCTGGAGGTAGCTTTTTCTTCTTCTTCTTCTTGTGCTTCTTTTTAGATTTTGGGAGGTTTGGTTAGAAGCTTGCATATCTGTATGGGACAAAAGAGATAATTGTTCCAAGTGAGAGGTTAAAACATTAATAAATACAACACAAATCTATGCACCTAAACTGGCTAGAATATGTGAAGTGATTTCTTACTAGCATTGCATTGCCACATAAATATACTGACAGCCCTCTTTTTCTGAATCAATAATGACACTTCGTGGATAGCAAATTGTTTTTTATTTGTGAACAATTTATAACAAAAGTCTAGATCACATTCAGTATCTATTCACAAGCTTGAAGAAATACAGGTGACAAAAATTTAAGCTTGGCACTCATCTGTCTAGGTTAAATTATTACCTGCTTTCATTTTACTTGGGCACAGTTTACAAATCAACCTAAAGGGTAATATGGTTTTGGAGATAATATAATAGTATTATCTCCAAGATAGTTAAAGAATCTTTTAATTGTAAATCATCCACATATTCAGATTTATAATGAGGTAGACAAAAATATTAATTAATATGCCTTACTTTTGGATTTCAGAAGGATCTTTTCTTAAAGTTTCAAAAACAGTCTTGAATTCTCTGTCTCAGTGTGGGAGTCAATACGAGTAAAATAAGACACAGAAGTATAAACACTGCTTGAAAGAGCATCCCAAAGAGGCCTTTCTCTGTGTCCATATAAGCTACTGTGATAATGGAGTTCTATATTTAAAAGAAATTCTTTTACTGACTGAAAAGACCTAGAAAACCAGTATTTTCACTTTTCCCCTCTGTTTTTCTCCTCTCATTTTCTCCTTCCACATATATGATAATTAATCACCACTGCTGCCATATATGCCTGACAATGCATAGAACTTCCCTTAGTAAAGAATTGTCTCCCCCCACAGCTATTTTTTCACCACTCTGAAAATGCCATCTCTTCTCACATTCACAAAGTAATATTTCAGCACTCCTGAAGTTTTGGTCTTACTTATTTCCTTCAAATTGAACCATAAGAGAAACACATATTCTTTTCAAGGTAATTGAAAGTGTGGTAGCTGATCAATAGCTTTGGATTCTAAAAGATCTGGAGATTCAGATGAGTAGGGAAATTATCCACAGTAACAGAACTATAAATTAAGTCTCTTATGATTATAGATGCTGTCAAATTTAACTGACAGAATTTATCCTTCAAAAAATGCCAATAACCACACAATAACCACATTAGAATGCATGAGACTGGAATAAATCACTAAAATTGGTATGCTGGAAATGAGATTTAACTGGGGTCAATTTAATGTGTGAATGGAATACTCCTCAATACAGCTACCTATTAGTTCTTTTAGATTTATTATTTTCACTATTTATATAAGGGGCCTGTAAGATGGGGGCTCTGTCATCACATCTGCAAAAATGTGTACCATTGTGTCAAAAAGAAACAACCGGAACAAAACACCAAGATACTTACTTGACACTGTCATGTCAGGAGCTGAAACTTAATTGGTGCTACATTGCAGTTCAAAGATGAGTTAGTAGTTCTACAGACATCAGTGAGGCTTACAGAACTGACATGTAACAAAGTCAGATGAAGTCATCACACAAATACTTACATAAAGCAGAAATGTATCTAAAGGCAGTATTTGAAAAATCTGATGACAGTACAAGTTTGTCAGATGGCAGTGCTGCTAAACATGCTTTCCCAGAGTAATGGTTCCTGGTATGAACAATGGAAATTGAAAATTTAAAAAAATGCTGTTCATTTGTTTAATTCTTTGAATAATTTTGTCTTATCTTAGAAGATGCAGGATCTTCCTTTGATAATTCTTACTATTAGAGTATCTTTAGACTGTCTGAATGTTTTCTTTAACAAGGAAAGTTTGACTTTGTTCTAACTCTCTATAAGACCGTAAAGGAAAAGATTCACATATATATGTGTTCACATATTTTAAACATAAGGACTTTGAGAAAATAAAATTGTAGTATTTTGTCCTTCAAATATATCAATCACTTTCCATGATCAAGACTTCAAAAAGTTCAGAAATATTTAATGGTAATCTCTTTTCACACTACTAACCAATATACCATGCCTGGATGTATATTCCAGAGCCACACACTTAACTGTATCACACACCGACCTGATCACATTAATATCCTTTATGCTCTGGGCTATTAATCCATCAGTACAACACAACACAATTGAGATCTTCCCCTCTTACTTATACAGTATCATCAGACTGAGTAAGATAAAGCAGTTCTGACAGATCAGTGAACACCTGTAATGAAACCCTTTACTCTCCTTTAGCTACAATTTTATGTAAGAAATGTGGCTTCTCCTTGCCCCACAATTTTAGAATATTAGTGTTAGAATTTATCTTTATTTTTTTTCAACACACCTATTAGCTTCAGCAACATAATAGTCCTTGTGTTCAGGAGTGGGAAAAAAAAGATTATGTCAACCAAAAGTGGTTTAATTCCAGTTCAAGAATATCTTTTTTTTCTTTAAAAACATATGCAAGTCTAACTAGCGGTAGTTATTTTTGTTCCTTTTTTAAATTCTTCCATATCACACAGTTGTAAGCTTTAAATAACTTTAATAAGGCAGTCCTTCAAAATCTAGACACTGTGCTGGATGATGTAACTCCCGTTATGACATCAGTTTTCCTAACCTTAAAGCCTCTTCCATCTTGGCTACTGCCAGTGCCCAGCAGAGGGCGTTTTAGGACTGAGCTATGTGAATACAAAATGAAGAGACCGGCTGTTCTATCACAGTAGTTTGCTTACGTTGGAGGACTACAAGTTTGAGATGCTTAATAAATATTTGAATATAAACTGCAGTGTTTTCAACACAAATATCAGATCCATAGTATTTAAGCAAAATACCACATACAACAATTATTTTGTTAAGAGCTATGTTTTCAAACTTGTTTATTCTGCATATACTGAACTACTGTAAAACTGATGTTTAGACAGTTAAATGTATAGGCATTTTAAGACTTTATGTAAAATACACTTACAAAGCAGAAAGAACAATTAGCACAGAAGTCAGTGGTTGAAAGAGTTCATTCTAGCTAAAAATGCTTATTTCAGATATGTTAACATTTCAATTACATGTTCTTTATATAAATAATCTCACTATATAGGTATCAAGTTAAAACTAGTTTTATATATTGGCTGAATAAAACCACATCATAAGTTTATATTTTCCTAAATTACAAAATTCTTCAATAAAACTGTGTGACTTTCAGATGTGGTTCTTCAAAATCACCTGAAAAGTCTGACTTGAATAAATATTATAATATTTAATTGCCTAGTTCCTACAAGTTAGCACAAATTGGAACAAGTGCTAAAAGTGCAGCCTTACTGGATAACTTCAAAAGATGCACACCCAAATCTGTTTGCCTAAGTACATGCTCGATTACACCAGCTGGGCTTTTCAGACACAGATATTCAGTTACATGCCTTGATTTCAGCTTATAATTCTACTAATGGTGCTTATGCAACTTTATACTGTCCGTTTGGAGTCTCAGGCTACAGACTCAGCAGTCAGCCACAACTGTGCCCTGATTAACTTCTTTCTAAGGTTACATAGTTTCAGTTTGTGAGGCCAAATGACAGAGCTTCCTCTGCAGTTTCCACAAGCTCAGATTGAGGACAAAGGAGGGACTTACTAGTAATGTGACATGTGTGATCTCAGTGTCCAAGGATGTTGTCTACTAGGCCCTGGGACAAGGTTTCAGCATGGAAGAAGGGATCCATCATATCTCTTCTTTAGCCACCTAAGAAGCCATCTACTTCTCTGAGATAGATCTTCCACTGCATAAGCCTCCCTGTCAGAAGCACATATTCAGGATCATTGACAGTTTAAGCAATGGTATTAAAATTCTCACACACAAAGTATTACTCAGAGGAAGAACAGAATTCAAGTTGCAAGAAAATATTTCAAGATTTCATCATACCAGTAATCTAAACAACTATTTAATATCAGATAAGCAGTGCTGATATTAAAAAGGTAAAAAGCTCTGGAACCACAAGGACTACATGCTGGCCACAGTCGTTGCTTGCACTGCTAGCTGTCAATTATTTTAGGAGCAGAAAGTAGCTATGTAAAACAAGAAAAGTTTGTGACCTTGCTGATTTTTTTTTTTACAGAAAAGTGCAGTTTCCAGTTTACATATTTCCAAACAGTTTACCATCAAGAACCTGAAAAACCTGCTCTCATGTAAATCTGTCATAAAACAATACTACTCCTGGCAAGCTACAATCCTGGGGGAAATTCCCAGTCAAATGAGCTGAGCAATAACAATCTAATGAAAAGAAAACTGTAATAATGACAGAGAAAAAAGTAGAAAAAAGATGATAACTCAAAGGTATGCATGCCTGAGTTTGGGAGAGATGTGAAAAGAGGGAAGAGAAAGAAACATACACTCAAAAAACCTGAACAAACAGAAAAAAACAAAACAAAACAAAAAAAACCAACCCAAAACAATCAGGTTTTTCCTCCCACTGTGATCTAACTAAATGAGGAACCTGTTTAGGGTCACCTCCAAACTCCACCTAAATATTTTGACAACATTTTCAAATCTATGCCTACACTGTGCCCTTAAATCACCAGCACAGGAAACTCAATATTATTCTCAGTCACTTCAAGTGACAAGAGACCATGAAGTTCAAAGCACTGGATGAAATACTGGTTTTCTTAAGTAAAACCCTGGAAAAGTGGTTAGGGATGGAGAAAGATCTCTCAGGTGTAAGCTCACCTCACATTCAATGCAGCTTAACTCCTGGCTGCCAGTGAGAAGGACTGTTTCACTCTTCTGCCTGCAGTTGGCCATGCTTCCTTTAGATCTGTATGATGACTGTAATGCTAGGGGGTAAGCTGTGACCACCCCTCACTGACAGCAAGAACAGGCTGTCCCATAAGAGAAGATGTCTTTATCAAGCAGAGTATAGTTCTGCTGCACCTGCATAGTAGTACCACACACAGATAGCCCGGGCAGAAGAAGTAGAGTGGAGACAAGACTAAAAGGCAGGGCTCAGTTCCATCCAGAAGACAGTACTGGAGACAATCAATATTAAACATTGGTCAGAACCCATTCAGGAGACAAGGCCACAAACTACAACACAACTCAGATGAGAAGTGGTATTACAGACATGAGTTTAAGATGAGCTCCCTGACAATGTGCTGCAGCTATGGGTGAAGGTCCCAGGTGGGACTGGTCAGGACAGTTAAAGTACATTAGTTCTCTCAAGGAACTAATTTGTATCATGAAAAAATAAAGTACTAAGGAAGGCTGCACTATCACTAGGAACATCTGACTATATAAGAACAGGTTACTTGTCTCTACTCTCTTCAGTTTATGCACCAAAATCACTTATGATTTATAAATTAAAATATCACTAAAAGAACTAAATTGATGAGCTTATCTTAGCTTTCTATTGTGGAAAACAGTAGCTAGTGTTGATACCTTGACTCCCTCCCAGTCAGGTTTTAGGCAAATGATACACCAGGGAAATAATGGCAATATGTATTGCTTTATGTCCTCTTATCTACTGGTAGATCTTGCCAACTGGAATTGTGCATTAGTGTCTCACATGAGTAGTTGGAAAACATGATGAGGCATTTACAGCTGGCCTTTACCCCACGGTTAGTAAAAGAATAACAGACGCCTGCTTTGTTAAATCTGAAGAGTATGAGGCTGAGAGGATCTGAGCAATTGCCATAAAGTCACGAGTTCAAAACAGTGGAGTCAGACAACTATGGCATAAAGCTCTTCTGGGAGAGCGCATCTATGTGTCTGCCTACGTGTGTTGAGAGGAAGAAAAGTTTTTCTAAACTGAGAAGGGAACAAACAGGTGACTGGACCACTGTTTAGATTTTTGGATATAAGAAAAACTTTTGAGGAAGGCAGGGTAAAAGTAGAACTGAGGGGTTTGGAAAATCATAGCTAGGCTAATGAATTTATATTGTATTTCACTGGTTCTTTATTTTCAGCCAAACAACTTCAGGAAGGAGACTAGGAACCATGAATCACCAAGAAGAAAATGAGTACATACAATTTCCACAGGGATGAAAAAGGAGGTTGAAGGAGTGCAAGCTCTGTGATAGACACAACTTTAACTTCAGCTTCAAGGAACTTTGCTCTTGAAATAGCAGCAATTATTCTAAGCTGGATGTCTAATTCTATCCATGTAATGGATAGGGTATGTTTTTGAAAGGCATTCACAGCAATCAGTATCCTGGGTATAGCAGTGACTAAGCTAGGGATGGATACAACAATTTGACCAAAGATTCACTTTCTTATTACTTTTCCTCCAACATCTTACCATACAGACAGAGAAGGACTGAAACTTGAGAATAAAGTGAGCAGGCCCTTTGTGTCCCTGCTGGAGACTGGCCACTATCCAGCTCAACCACCAGTCAGGCATCCATAGGGTTGCAATTCTTTTTCCAAGCTGTGGCGCCAGAAGGCAGCTAAGGTCACCAAGTCCTGACAAATCACCTGATGTATCTCAGGACTGATTTATTACTATGTTGATGTAAATGCTTTAATACCAGGATGTACCAGTTATTCCAGCAGGCATTGGCCTTCCTTGGCAATTTGGATCCTAACAAGGGCCTAGTCCTGGATAGAGATTTTATCAAAACTTGGGTGTACAGCAGTACAGGGACAGGACAGGTATCTACCCATAAAGCATGTCCTCAAGGAAATCAGATCATCACTTCCCCAGAGAAATCCAGCACAACTTCCAGTTGATACCACTTCCTTCGCTACATCTGGATAGAAAAGATCAAGTTACTGCCCCTTAGATCACATCTGCATTTTATTCCAAATGTCTCATGGCTCACAGCTCTAATAACACACCAGCTTTCTTCCCAGACTATCTACTAGTAGTCAGAGTCATCCTTCCTGGCTTTGTAATTACAGACTGTGGGAGGACTTGGACTCCATAGCAGCCTTCGGAGTGCTTTGGTGTGAGAGGAGAGGTATGTCTTACCATCAGCTCAAAAGGTAGGGGATGTAAGGAAGTTGTACACCAGACTCTTGTTTTGACTATATGTAAGGAAGAGGGGAAGCAGCCATTAGGAACACGTGGCAAAAATAATTGGAGCTGGAGGTCTTAGATTCGGCAAGGCACATGACTGCTTGACTCTGTAGGGAGTGTTGGGAGATGTGGAATGAACTCTGGACTTTGGAGGATTGTCAGGGCACTTTGGTGCAGTTGTGCATTCAAATCCTTTGGGAACTTGACTGCAGAAGATGCTTAATTGAGATGTTAAATGTATCTAATAAAACCCAATACAAGAGGAAAACTTAAAATCACGCAAGATGTCAAATTACTCTGTGTAAAGGGTGTGTACCCCAAGAGGGTGTATTCAGATAAATCAATGAGATCTTATTTCTCAGGAAGCCATGCCAAGGAAGCAGAGTAATAAAACAAAAGAGGAATATCCACTCCTTGTTTGTTGTGGTAAAATACATAAATTGGAAATAAAAGCTGGAAAAGTCTGAAGACATTGCAGTAATAGAGGCCATAAAAAACAATCTGAAAAGTCTTGCATGAGTCAGACTTCCTGGCAGCCTCCCATGTGAGCGGTGAGGCCCAAGACTGTTTACCTCATAAGACAGCAAGCAGATAAGACTACGTAAGCGATGATTAAAGATATAAAGTGCCCAACATGTTGTGGGAACAAGGGACAGTCAAAAGCAGCCAGTCTCAGTGTAATGAAAATGTAAGGCAAATAGCCCACACAGACAATGAGTACTCATAGGTTCAAGGACTGAGAGTGTCACCAAACTGGCAGTGGTACTTCAGGTCTGTAGAAATGGAGAGAAGTCTAGTTGGACTCTGTCTTTCTGTGTGTAGGAATACTTTTTTTACATTAAACATAACATTGGGATACCAAAGAAAACAGAAAATGTTAAGCATGTAAACCAAAAGCAGCAAAATCGTGCCAGCACAGCAGCAATTTCATATACAATTACTGTAGTATATTACAGGTTTGCTAGCTGAATCAGCAGAGCTTTCAGAATGGAAACCCATGAAATGTAAATCTAAGTAAGGCTTATTTGCTACCCCACATGCCTTATTTTCTAGAACTACAAAAATCTGTTAGTAAAGACATGTGAAATAAAGACATGTTGTTAGACACAGGGTTTTGATTCATGATGTGCTTTAATTTTATGGTTCTAACCTTTTGGTTTTCCATGGTAAAGATCAAAAGAGTAATATACTAAGAAAACTTCTTTCTTTTTTGTGGTGGTCCGTTTTGCCTGAATCATCTGATATTTTTCAGAAAATGAGAAAAATATGTATTTTTCTGGTGGGTGGTATAGATCTTCATGGAAAGATCACATTGTTTGTTAACATCCCAAGAATGTGTGACATTCACTATATTATTGTAGCTTTTGTTAGATGTAATATTCCAAAACCATTTACAAATGTCCCTTTAATAAAAAAAATAAATACTGTAACTTCTCATTATAAGTAGCAGAGAATGCTTACCAGTAGACAGAGAAAAATTTTCTCCTCCATGTAAACTATTACTTGTTCATAAACTTTCTCTAAAAAAGCCAAAGAATACATGTTCAAATAAATTAATATGAAATTGCAGGGTGGTTAATGTAAAATAAAAAAATAAATCAATCAGAAACTGAAGATTGTAGCCTGAAATAAAGTAAACAAAACAAACAAAAAATCCCTACAGCAAAACACCAGAAAAACAAGAAATAAACATGAATTTAGCTTTAACTAAGCAGCTTCAGATGTTATGGATCATTCCAATAGAAATGTCATTGCAGCTGATATATATAAGGCTTAAATGAACAAGATTCCTCAATGAACCTTGCTCAATGAACAAGCAGTAGAAGCAGTCATGTTTTTTGTTTATCTTGAGCAAGGGTCATCCATTATATTTCTTTGAGTCAAAAAATCGTTATTTTCTTTCTAAGTCACGTGAACTGTTGTCTGTATTCAGCTGCTATATTTTTGTGCTGGTGAAAATTGGTTTGATACATGCTGGTCAAACTGATTCACTTTCAGAACTATCTCATTTAATTTAAGGAAGTTGAGAAAAAGCCAACAGCTGTAAGAAAAGGATTACCTGAAACACTGAATCTAATTTAACAGAATTGGTTTCCCCCCTGAATTTCAAAATAGCAATGGCACTAAAATTAGTTTTAGGCATGACAGTTCTTTATAGTTATGCCTGACTGTTATAGCAAAAGAAGAAGCAAACTTCACAGAGTTATAAAGGCATGATTCTTCAAGAGTAACCTGTAGTTTTTACTAAAGAATTATATTTTACATAACAGAAGCCCAAACCAACCTAACTTGATTTTTCCATGTAATCTATCCTTGGTGTATATTCATCATATTTTCCATGTTGGATTTTGTTTGTTTGTTTGTTTTTCATAACAAAAAGCAATATAGTATCTGACCTAAATCATTTAGGATACATTAAATGAATTACAAACATTAAAACCATAAAGACATTTTATGAAAGCTTTCTTCAAACTGCCTGAAAATTTATGGCAAAGGACTATTTCTATTGTCACTACAATGACACTTCCCCAGGGAAGTGGTAGAATCACTATCCCTGAAAGCGTTCAAACTGCACGTGGATTTGGTATTTGGGGATACTGTTTGTGGTGAACACTTTGATGTTAGGGAAATAGTTGGACTAGGTGATCTTCTATATTTCAACCATAATAAGTCTATGATTTGACCATGAAAGGAGAGCTCACTACCACAGCCTAATTTCCAGAAACTGCAAGTAGTAGGAAAAAAATTGAGGTACCTATACATGAAATTTTAGGAAACCTGAACTAAAGGCTTAAATGATTCTTAATGCAAGAAGCACACACATTTTACCAGTGAAGTTCCCTATGGTCCTAAACTAGAAGACACCCAACAAAGTAATCTGATGTACAAATCCTAAAACTCAGTCCACAAGACTCTTACCTAAATCCGCCCAGAAGTTTCTTTCAATAAAATTTTCCATGTCTCTCTGGCTTGCTTTCTGCACAGATCCAGACTACTGATTGGCTTGATGTTGTGGTTTAACCCTGGTTAACCCACAGTTCTTCACTAGCAACTGTGAAGAAAAATAACTCTACCCCATCCAAAACAAGCACACAGGCCTATAGTCACTTCTGTGCTAACCCTTGCAGAAATAATCAGTCGTGTTTTTTAACAACACAGATGATGGTTCAAAGAAGCCAGTGCAATAGAGTAGCCCAGCTTTATTTCATTTATGCCATTTCCTGGTACTGCTAAGATTTTTGTAAGGTTATTTCTCTGTTAGTATGTCTGATGCTCTGGGCTCATACAAAGGCAAGGGTAAAATAAAGGGCAGAATCACGCAGTTATGAGTGGGGAAGTGCACTGAACCACAGTCACTGAACAGCCTTTCAGCTCAGGTGACACATTAACTATACTTGTGTATTGGACTGTGGAGTTGTGTAACAGTTACACACCAAATCAAGTGCTGTACCAACACAGTAAGACTAGTCCTTTCACTAACAAAAATAAGCAAAGACTGTAATCTGTTTTCTTTTTTTCATTTCTTAGACAATGTCAATTCAAACTGATAGGGTATTTTCTGAAAAGTAAAGGTATCCAGACCTCCTGAACTTAAAAGAGCTTTAAACCTTTAACCTCCTCTCTTCCTGATGCAACCGTCTCATCTTCCTGAAGATATGTTACAACCCCTCAGCATACATTACACAGCTTCAGACATCCTGCACAAGGGGATTTGATTTTGACCTACACTCCATGGTGTTCTGTATATTGCCTTCAGGGCCACTCTAGCAATTAAGTTTGTTTGTTTGTTTGTTTTTAACATGTGGTGAATGAAGCAGACTCAAAAACAGTCTGTACACTTCATATAGGAGGAATACTTCAAACACTCCGTTGTTCGCTTAACCCCAGGAGTGTCTGAGAGGCTTTTTCAGTATGAAAGCTTTAGAAAAATGATATGGGGACATTTGTGTACACTTATGTTTTAGAATTTTTGTAGAAAATGCTACCCCAAACACAAGTAGGCATTTCTGAATTTTAAACACTTATTTCAGTTTGAATCAGTGAAAAAATTTATCCTTCATGGGATGAACACTAGCACAATCAAAGCAACTCCAGGAGAATTAGTTGTTTTGTAAATATACGATAAAGGAGATGAGTTAAATCCAGAGTTTTTGTTTGCTTGTATTGTTGTAGTGCTTACAACCATTCTCCTGTAACAGATATCCCACACACAACTTGCAACAAGAAGACAATCCTTGACTGAAACAGTTTATGTCTATTGGTAAATCGGAGGAATGAGAACAGAGAGATTACAGCCAAGTGATATAAACAGATATCAAAACAGAAATCTCTGTTGTTTAGTTTACCTATGGAAAGTTGAAGATCTACTCCAAAGTAAAAGTAGATACAAGCATTCCAAATATGTGAATGAAAGCACTCTTAAGGCACAAATCCAAATGGAGTAAGAACATCCACCAAGGCTAAAGATCCAGTTGGGAAATTAGGTGAAGAGTAGAGAGGACAGTGATACGTGAAGAAGTGGGATAAGATTAGAAAGGTAATAGCTTAAAAGCAAGAGATTTGCAGGTGTATAAAGACACTGTTGACTCAGCATTTTACTCCCCTTATTATTAAGGCCTCCTATCCAGAGACTGAATCCTAACAAAATCTATAACATGATGGAGATGACACTTCAGGAAAGGATATTTAAGAATAATGAAAACAGCTATTTGTGGGAGGGGAGGAAAAATTTCCAACATGAAGTTACTTACATTTAATGACTTTCTTGTTAAATAAGTAGATGACATGACTTACTTCTGCTTACAAAGTTTCCAATCAACTTTCTGTTCCACATCACATAGCACCAGAGACCAAATCCAGGGTATCTCCTCACTGTTAGAATGCACAGACAATACTTATCTTTGGACTAAGTGCGGAAGACAGCCTGTTGACAGAAGCACTGTAGATTGGCACATTTCCTCTTGATTTTTGGATGAGAAATACTGTTCTTTTGGCATATGTCCATCTCTGGTTCTGTTTAGACTCTGTTCTGTCTCTATGTCTCAGCAATCTGAAGTCATAAGGCTATTCTTTCTTTTGAGAAGACCTAAACTATGTGGTTGGAAGGTTCTGCTATTGCCTGGAGGATGTTGTATCATTATGGGCATTAGTTTCACTTAGTCCTCAAAATGATTTTCCATGTTTCTGTTATCGCAATACTGTATGATTATGGTTCTTTTCATCTACTTCAAGCAATCATGTGTCTCATAAAATAGAACCTGTTCTCCATTAAAAGGGGACTACATCAGTTTATTTAAGCAGATGGGCAAGAAATGTACAATTTATCTCTAATACTAATCTCCTTACACAGTTCACACAATCACTATCTTTACTGAAATGCCCATCAGAGCAAGAGAAAGTCAGAATTGTAAAGCTATACCTCTAATCCTGAACTGAAAAGACAGGACTTAGCTCCATGCTCTGTCACAGGCTTCCATTAAGACCTTGAACGAGTCATTTAAGTCACTTGCCTTGAGTTTCTTTCAGAATGGTACCCTACTTTCTCACAGCACTGATAAGGCAAAGTGGTGTCTGCATAGCCTGACTACCTACTGCAGACACTCTGCTTTTTTTCTAATATCCTGCATGATAGATATTATCAAAGCACAGCAGTTCAACTTTCAAAATAGAGCTGCTAAAACTTTACAATCTTCATAAAAGACATCTGAACTTATGACTCAGTAACTTCTATGAGATTTCCAGACATGAGCCTAGGATAAAAGAACCATCAAAAATATTTGTGTTGTGAAAGTCAAAGGCATACTGCTAATTACACTAAAAGTTTGCAAGTGCACAGACTAAAAAATTAAATTATTAAAACTATTTAAAATCTCTACTGCTAGATACATGCACAATAGGGAAGAGTTCAGTTACATATGCAATTGTAGCTTTAAAATTTCACAACCTTTCAAATACATAGATATTGGTAATGCTTCAAAATGTTTTCTTAAAAAGACAGACATAATTTTCTATTGTGAAACTCCCTGGCTGCATAAGATCCTACCACTCTTCTCATGAACTGCAAACACAACTCTAAACTCAGCGGGATTTCTTTTAAATCAGGGTTCCTTCTCCTTTGCATCAGATTGAGATGCGAAAATCAAGAAAAATTAGACAGCATTTTTTTTCAAGTACACAGAGTGACACCTGACTTTGACGTGGCAAGGGTGTAGGAAGTGGAACATACTTGTTTGTCCTAGACACATAAGGTTAAATGCTCGCTTTGAGAAATCAGTGATAACCTCCCTTCTAAAACAGCAACAAACCACCCTTACAGAGTTTCAAGCCACAGAAAATTCTTTATCTACAGAAACTTAAGGACTGAGATGAAAGCACTTGACGTATTTTCTCAACAGAAACTTAAATGCTTGAAAGAAATATTGAAAAAAAACTTAATATGTGGGAAAAGAAAAAAACATGTCTTATTCCAGTAAACCACCAACTTCAGAAAAAAAAATTACAAACTAAGGTATCTTGGACAAAGATAGGTTACTCAATGAGTATTTGGGGTTAGAATGACAAGATCAAAGTAACAGATGTTTAATAAAGCTAAAAGTTTTAGATTCAAAGCCCACTGAAAACAGTCAGAACTCTTGATTTCAAAAGGCTTTCAATTAGGCCTAATTAAGCTGTCTTTGAAAAGGTAGATAAATTGTGGATGACCAAGACTTTACAGCCTTGCAACACAAATACTAGGATTTCAATTATGTTTTCAGTTTTCAGGGAATCTGATTAATTCCCCATGGTTCGAGCTATCAGCAGGAGATAAAGTGGGACAATTTGGAGAGGTGATGCAATCTAGAGATATCATAGCCTGAAAACCAGGAGACAAGCAGAACTTTGAGAGATTTTCTACTTTACATGCAATTGACATTAGGGACAAGGATGAACCAGAAAATTTTCTATGAAATAAATGCAAGTCCTTTATTTATAGCTTTTAAGAATAAACGAGACTATTCCAAAATTTAAGTATCCTTACCACTAGCCATTTTTCCCAGTCTAACCTGAACCTCTCATGATGTGATTTGAATGAACTACCTTTTGTCTAAACTGAACATGTAAACCAGATACTTCCTGTTCTTTGAAGTACTCCTGTATCACCACCCCTTTAGTATTCTCTCTCTATACAACACATATCACATTCTTTCAACATTTCCTCTTGTTTCCTGGATCTTTGATCATTATCACTGATTCCTGCTTATACCCCTCCACCTACTCCACATCCTTGTACCACCATACCTGAGAAGAGGACAAAGTTGTCCACCTCCAAGTTTATTTCATAATGAAGCTGCTAGAAAATATGCCTTTTTGCAATCATAAAACATCGTTAATTCAGCTTGTGAACTTGCTACAACCACAAGATTTATACACAACTTCTATTGAAACAGTTGTTCCTTGTCTTGTATTGTCACACAAAGTGTAAAATATTACCCTTGTGCCCTGGTAGCCAGAAGGTTCAACCGTGTCCAGGAGTGCATCAGGCACAGCATCACCAGTTAGTCAAGGGAAGTGACTGTCCTGCTGGTGTGGCCTCACCTCAAGTCCTTTGTGCAGTTTTGGGTGCCAGAATGTAAGAAGGACATAAAGCTATTAGAGAGTGTCTAAAGGAGGGAAATGAAGATGGTAAAGGGCCTCAAGGGGAAGCCGTATGAGGAGCAGTTGAGGTCACTCAGCTTGTCCATCCTGGAGGAGATTGACAGGAGACCTCATCATAGTCTACAGCTTCCTCATGACGAGAAGCAGAGGGACAGGCACTGATCTCCCTGGTGACCAGTGACAGGACCTGAGGGAATGACCTGAAGTTGTGCCAGGGGAGGTTTAGGCTGGATATTAGAAAAAGGTTCTTTGCCCAGGAGGTGGTTAGATGCAGGAACAGGCTCCCCAGGGAAGTGGTCACAGCACCAAGCCTGAGAGTTCAAGAAGAATTTGGACCATGCTCTCAGGCACAT